CAACGGTGATAAGAAATATAGACAGATAACAACAATATAATGTAGAAAGTGCAAATAGCATAAAAAGGCTTAGATAAAGTGCAGTCCTATAGGACTTCTGAAGGCATGTACCTAGAAGTAATGAGTGAAGCTTTGGGGAGAGAGAGAGAGAGGTGGGAGGGAGGGAGAGAGGGAGGAAGGCAGGGAGGACAAGATCCTGGGAAAATGTAGAGTGAGTAGAAGTAGGATAGAGGAGGGAAGACTTTCAAGGAGATCATGGACAGGTGACTGGTCAGTTCAGAATGGTGGTCACATGTAGGTTCTGGCTGTTTCCTAAAGGGACCGGAAAACCACTCAAATGTACTCTGGGTTAATGTCCATGGGGTTCATTCTCCTCTCCAGCAGGAACCAGCCAGGAGAGATTTGGGAAATGAGAGGCCATTGTACCCCTGAAGAGACAAGGGTGGAATGGAGGGTTGTGCTCCCAGAGCTGGGCCTGGAAGATTGTGTGATGCTAGTGATGTGTTTCCACAGAGGAAACAGAGACACTGACTACAGGGTTCTCTCTTTTGAGTGTCTAGTGTCTTTGTAAACAATAAAAAAGTGTATATGTATATATATGTATAACATAAATTTACACATATATAAATTTACATACATATAAATTTATGTATTTCTAAAATACAAGTAATACATTGCAAAGTGGAATTTTTGATTCCTTATATATATAAATTTACATGTATATGTATTTATTGTTAAAATAGAGGAAGTACATTGAAAAGTGGAATTTTTGATTCTTTTCTACATATTAAAAAGATTTGGGCTACGTATGTACGGAAAATGTAAGAATTGATACAACAAAGTCCACACTTTGAGGTCCAGTAGGAGAGAGACAGTTAACAAGCATTTGTGACTTGTTGCAGCACTCTGCTGTGGGATCCTAGAGGAGAGAGCCACTATCCTGCAGAATGAGTGAGACGTCATGGAAGAAAAGAGTGGTTTTGAGGCGAATAAAGTGATTGCTGGCTGCAGGGAGGTTGGAGACCAAAAAACTGTGGTGGAATCAGTTGGCCCCGTTTCATGACCATATCGAGTGATGCTGGCACCCGACAGCAGGCACACCATAGGCAAACAGTAGTGTTTTCCTGGGTCAGGGTTTGGCAAAGCTAAGATGGAAGAAGGGCACAGTGACCTAAGGTTCTAGCCTTAGCAATGGGAATGGATGCCTGTGGCGTCAGTGCAGCAAGATAAACAAGACAGAAGACACATGGAAGAGGAAAGGAGGGAAGGGAGTAAAACCAAAGAGATGGTGAGAAACTGGAGCGTGGTTTTGACCCTCTCACATCCTCAAGAGATCTCCTGGTGCCTCATAAAAGAGCTCAGCTTGAGCCTGGGGACGCTCTGAGCTGGGACTTCTATGTAGAGACCACGAGGCTGATCTGATGGGGTGGACCGACAGAAGTCCGCGTGCAAGGCAACTGTGGAGCCTCTCACGAGGCAATTTATCCCAAGACAATAGGATTCGGGCTGGATGAATCTGAACCAGAACTTAGTCAAGCAGGGGTTTGGGAGTCTGGTTTCAGCATGGAAGAATCTCCGTCTCCTCGGATACAGATCCCCGTGAGAAAGAGAAAGTGGGAAAAATTGAGAGATTTTGTAAATTCAAGGCTGCTTGAAACTTCCCCGAACTGCATGTAACACAAAGACATGTATTTTACCCCCTATATCTCCATAGGCTACCTCTGAGCTTCGACACCATGATAACCCTAGTGCTCCGGCAACAGTGTTTGGCAGAGAACATGACTCCCAGTGGAACAGAGGCATACCCAATGCGAGAGGGTTTATTCATGAATCCAAGTTCTGCACCACCAGCAGGACCAGAGAAACCTTGTGGAGGTGGCCTAGGGATGGCGTGTTCCTCAGTCAATGACCAGGAAGGCAAGGGGATTTTGTCTTCTTACTCTTTCAATAGAGGCAGAAGTCAAGATTTTAGGCTCTGGAATTAGGTAGATCAGCTCTGCAGTTTGCTAGTTCTGTGAACTTGATCCAGTTGTTTAACCATTTGAGCTTGCTTCCTGAGGTTGGCATACCTCTTTGAATTGACATAGGAAATGGGAAATTGCATGTATGCCTTTCACATGTGGTATCAGACCACACTCACAGTTCCCTCTGCCTGAAGGCTCTTCCGCCTCACCCCTTGCTGACTCCTACTCATCTTCAGTTTAAAAGCTTTTTTCAGAGGAGTCATCAATGAGCCCTCCCTGATAGCAGACTCTAGATTGCCTACCCAATATCCATTGCCACTTTCTCCTTTTTGTTTGGGTATCAGCTCCTCAAAGAATACAATTCTGAAAAGTTCAAGGGCAGATTCCGAAGAACCCAAGCCAATTTTGGTAATCCTCCCTCCATGCCCAGAATTTAGGTGTGGGCACGTGACTCAGTTTGGACTAATGATAAGTGAGAGGAAGTCTGCTTGGAGGTTCTAAGAAAGATTTGCCTACTCTTGAAAAGAGATAGACTTTGCTACTATTGGGGATTGTCAGGATTACCTTTCAGAACAGGGGCTGTTCCAGCCATCCTGGGACCATGGCGGGGCGGCAGGGGGCCACCCAGGTAAAAGGCTGGCATCCTGCAGATGGCAGGGGGCATATCAGAAACAGTCCAAATCTACTCTGACATCACTGAGGTGCTGAATTTACCAGCCAGAGTCTCTTAACCTCAAAACAGTTGAGGTTTCCTTCAACTGCTGAGACTGAACAACCTTCAGCCACATGAAACAGTAAATTTCCTTATTATTTAAGACATTTTAAACTCAGCTAATTATTAATTGTAGGCTTCTGCATCTGAATTATAACCCCATATTTTTTGCTCTCATATCATTTCCTTTCATAGCGCTTTCTACATATATGTTGCTTTTGTGCTTATTGATTTGATACCTATTTCCCCTGCTGGACTGTGGAATCTAACTTACCAAGATCATGTGTTGATTTTGTTCACCATTGAATTCCCAAATTTTAGCATCTGGCTTGAGGCATGGGACCTGCTTAAGCACTTTTGTTGAAAGAATGGATAAAGGCTCAAACACAGTCACTTTTCTCCTCCTCCTCCTCCTCACCATCCTGGGATCAGCTCAGACTAGCTGGGTGACCCCCAGAGCAGGAAAGTACATCAGTGGTTTTCACGCTTTTGCCCCAAGGAATAGTAAGAAAATACATACTACATGGTTGGCCAAATATACATATATTTAACTGAAACGAAAGATCTACGGAGCGTATTTACTCTTATTATGCATGCTGTACTCTGATATTTTTATTCTATGTCATTAAAAATGTGGACCCATTAATTAGTAATCACTATTTCCCCCAAAATGGACTAAATGAAATGGAAGGACTTTGAAAATCCAACTGTCCTCTTTTTGTTGTTAAACAGTTCATAAAAATCCATTCTGATGACATAGAAGTTCATGATTACAGTGACTTCACAAAGACTTAATTATTTTTCCTTTTCCTGTAGAGTTCTTCCCCAGACCATCCCTCTCTTTGGGCTATTTTGAAGGTCTGCATAAAATAGAAAGACTCTGGTATGTGTTAATGAAAAAGTACTTTGTATTTTGCTTATTTTTTTTTTTCAGTTAGTACAAAAACAAACGGGACTCCGTTCTTCCTCCTCTGAAATTTAATGGTCCCGTTCAACATATTTTACGTGGGGCCCATTTCTATATAAGTTTATATATGTACTAGCGCAGGCCAGTGTTACAGGAGTCCCACAGCCACCATGTGGTTTAAAACCCAAGAGAGTTGGGTTCTGACATTCTCTAGAGGCACAGTGAAGAATAAAACCTCACTGTACTTCGCATTCCTCAACACAGAAACTGCCCTTGTCCACGGCGGATTGGCCAGTGAAATTCCTCTGGGGGCAGGAGGAAAGGGGAAAGCCACACGAAGATCTCACAACTCCAGAGCACAGCAAATAATGCGGTGGGGGTATGTATATATTTAGAAAATCATAAGGCAAGCCTCAGGGGGGAAAAAACCCCAAAAAACAAAAAAACCCACATGTAATCAAAAGGCGACTGGGAGAGCAATACCAGCCTGGGTGATCAAGAAAGCTCCCTGCTAAAGGACCTACAGATTCTGAAGGTATAATCTCTGTCCCTTAAAACTCGGTTCTAACCACCCCCCCACCCCCCCACCCCCATCATGCGAAAGGCAAACTAGGTGTAAGTTATGGCTCCAGAGTCCGGAAAGAGCGCATCTCCAAGCTGCTCCGGGGTCACGTGTCTTCTAGAAGGGCATTGGTGTGACCCCGGAGAGCACACGTCCAGGATGCGTGCGCCTGTTTGCGCTCTGGGAGTGAAGGCGAGGTGGGAACCAGCTTGCAGTGAAAAGAGACCCAGGGGTGTAGGGAAAGGGAGGGGAAGGAAAAGATGAACACGTCCCTGAACTTTCCTCTCGCCTAGTCCCACACACTTGAAATAGAAATAATAATAACAACATAAAAAAAAAAAAAAAAAAAAAGCTTTACAACCACGATGTTATCTCCCTACTTAAGTTGCCTCACTCTGGAGGGTATGGGGTATAAAGTGCAGACTGCGGCAATCGCCGCTAGCCTGTCTCGGGAGTAAAGGTTCAGGCCGGTGTGGGTGCGCGCGCCAGTGACCCCACCTTTTGGGAAGCCGGCTCCCTGCCCTTGCGCGCAGTAGCCCCGGCTGACCCTCCCCCCTCCTTTTCCTGCTCTCCTCCCTCCTTTCCTCCCTCCCTCCTCGCGCGTCTGCTCTGCACCGGCCCCCGCGGAGGAGGCAGGCGGCAGCACCCAAGCCGCCGCAGCTCCTGCCCGCAGCGCGCTCGCCCGCGCCCGCGGATCCCACGTAGCCCGCGCGGCGGCAGAGGCAGCCCCGGGCCCGCGCTGCGCGCCTTGCGCACGGCCCGGGCTCGCTGAGCTGCCCAGCGCTCGGCTCGGGCGCCGCAGGCGGCTGGCGAGGGCGGCGCGGGAGACGACGCGGAGACGCAGGGGCGGCGGCGCCAAGGTGACAAGCTGCGCACCTGGAAAGTTACCCGGCTGTCTGGTGAGGTTCGCGGGAGGAAGGCTCGGGCGCCCCGGGCAGCGCCGGCGGGGGACGGGGTCGGGGTGCGCGCGTGTGCCTGCTGTGCGTGCCCTGCGAGCCGTGCGCCTCCGTTCCACACCCCGCCGGTCTCGTGCATGTGCTGTTTGTGTGTGGACGTGTGCACTCGTTGCGTTTGCTTGGTGTGGCAGCCTTCCGTGAGCTCCTGGAGGCGAGGGAAGGCTACTTGATTTTTAAGAAGCTTGGCTGGGGGCGGGAGGGGACAGCTCAGCCCCAGTGGGGATTCCTCAGGGCTGTCACGCCTTGAGCCCGGAGCAGAACCGCGGTGGAGACTGTCGCTCCGGGCTGGGGGCTTGGCGCTGCTGTCAGGGCGTGCGCTCCAAGCTTCGCCTAGCCCTGGGTAGCTGCTAGGAGACAAGTACTCGGGCAAGGACTTCATGAGTCCTTGTAAACTTGTGTGGGTGTTCTGTGGCACTCCCAGCACCGAGCGGCGCTTTCACATTGCTTGCTCTGTATTTCCCAGTGACGAAGAGACAAGAGCAGACAAAACCAAAAACAATACATCAGCCACTTAGGGGATGAGAGAGAAAGCAGTGGGTTCAAGTTGGAGACGCACTAGGGTGCGAATGCATGGCAGTTGAGGCCACAAATGAGGACAGACAACAGAAACGACTCAGACAGAATGAACAGGTAGAAAGGTCTGATGGAAACCTGGGTGTCCTGATCTTCACCTTGTTCTCAAAGTTCCTGGGGGCCTTTTTTTATTATAAAGGAAGAGAGCAACATACAGCTGCCCCTGCCCCCACACCTCCTCTACACACAATTCCTTACAAATGATAGTCTCTCTCTCTCTCTCTCTTTTTTTTTTTTTTTTTTTTGCAAGTTTCTATTTAACTCCTGGACAAGGTGGTCATCCCACAGAGAATACAGTATCTGTTGCCAGCACTCCTGTTTAGTACGTCACAAGAGTATGAGCTAATATGGTGGAGACTTCTCTTTGGAGAATTAGAGGCCATCCTCTACACTGAAACATTGTGTAACTGAGAATAAACGACACGAAATGATGATGCGCAGAGATCTCTCTTTTACATGTGAAATCTTTAACTCCAGTCCTCTGGAATCCTTACAGAATCCTTACCAGTGAGGCTAATTCACCACACGGTGAAGGCATATGTTGCTTGGATGTTGCCCAAATCTTTTCATCCCATATTGTCTTGCTTCCTCTAGGCCGTTTTCCTATCAATTATTCCCTCTTCTGTGTTTTCATTTTCTCTAGCTTCATTGCTTCATTATTCTAGGCTTACAAAAACTCTCCAGTGCCCAGTGTTCTAAAAACCCATTTCATGAACCATGATACCATCTTGAAATCCCTACTCTCAACATCAGTTTTCCCATGGTCCTCTGTAATCAGATTTCTATCCCAACTCTTGTGTGAAAGGCTAAATCCAGTGCTTTTTCCTCTGATATAATTTGCTTTGATGTATCTGTGGGATGTGAAGAGCAGCCTGCTCCCCTCTTGAAAGTCTTATCTTCATGGCCTCTCTGATACTTCTCCTCGATCTCTTATTTATACAACCATTCCTTCCCTGTCTTTCTTATTTGCTTCTCCTCCTCCTCCACTTCTATAAATAATACCCACAGGTATTATCTAGATATATTTTTATATCATAGCAGAGACATTCCTTTCATTTCTCCCTTAGTGATCTCATCTGCTAATAGGACTTCAACTTCTCACCTCTGTGAAGCAGTCTCTTGCCTTGAGCTTCCTTTTTTGCTAGTCCCTGCTACGCATTTCTACCTTCATGACGTTCAGGAACCTCACACTCAGCATATATAAATTCAGCCTGATTACTGTCTCATAAAGCGCACTCATTCCTGTGACTGAAGTCAGTGTCACGGTACTCAACCCGTAGATGGTGCTCTTTTCATCTTTGAATGAATGAATGAGTAAATAGTACTACCTTCCTCCAAGCTTTCTGAGATCAAAATGTTGGTTGTTTTTTTTTTTTTTTTTACCTCCTTCTGTGTGCACCCATTTAATCACCACATTGAGGGATTCAACCCCTCTAGGATCCCTCCCACCTTTGTCATATTTTACCATGAATTCCTTCATACCCTTTCCCACTTTTGCCAAAGCAATAGCTTCTTCTTACCATGTTTCTAGTTTTCCTTTCAAATATCAGATAGGCCTAGGCACTTTTCCTCTCCTCATGGCCAGTCTCCTAGACCCTTTCATTCACTACTTCAGCTTCAGCCTCTACTTAGGTATCAAAGATGGCTACATATTTTCAGCTCCCCCCTTCTGAATTTCTAGTCCCTCATATCTTAACTGCCTACCGAACTCCTCCACACTAAAGTTTCCACGGGTCCTTCAAACGGACTTTGTCCAAAATCAAACTCTCTGTCTTAGCCTTCCAGTCTGCTCCTCATTTTGGTTAATGACATCACCTCTTACCCAGTTGCCACAATGGAAATTTCCAAATCTTTATTTTTCTTCTTATCACCACTGCAATTCCATCAGTTATATTCTCCTGACCTACCCCTATAGAATTACATTTCTCTGTCATGGCCTGTCTGTTTGATACTCTAGCACCCAAAAATAGCTGAATGGAACGCCACCACATTTGGCAGTGAACATATAGGATATGTGGCATTTGTAGAAATCACTATGAACATTCTGTTGGGTGGAGAGGCACTTCAAAGAGATTCAACCTCAGGAGTAGCTGAAACTGTAACTCATATGACTTCCTGACAAGAGAAGATTGCTCTCCAAACTCATACACTGTGGATAGAGAAAAATCCCAGTAGATTAAAAACTGAGCCCCAGGTCATCAGTCATGAGGTCAGATGGGCCAGATGCTTTTAATTGTGGCATTGATAGGGAATTGAGCTGTTCTCACAAGGGCAGCTCTGTGTGTTTTGCTTCAGGGAGAAGAAGCAGGGATTTACATATTTAGTGATGGTCAACTATTTTCTAAAGGAACTTTGGTGAAACAAAGTTAAGGATAACACCAAATGCATCAGTTTCCTATAAACTTAGAAGATGATCTATGAACACCTGTGTACTTTACTCATCTGATTTCAGGGTAAAGTACCCTTATCATAAAAAAGAATCTATTCTATGTTTCATGATTTGTTGAAGGGAAGGAAATTGCAGCGTTACCTATAGCCACAGCTTTTACCAAATCTCTGATGATCATGTTTTCCTCTTCTGGCTACCATGGAGATGATCCATTACTATCTTGAGTTCAAGAAGTTCAAGACACTAGAATAGGGTTGGGGCTTTGGCCTTATCCTGTCCTGAGCACCTCATACTTGGGTTAGTGCAATAACCTCTTAATATTTCCCTTCCTCTATGCCCTTTTCACTCCATTCCATATGTATGGCCAAGAAAATTATTTCTCTCAAGGACAGATCTGACCACATAACTTGAAAAAACTTGACCTCCACTAAAATCCAGATACCATCACATGGCATGCGAAGTTCCTCAGCATCTTATCCCCGCATTGGATTTTTCATTTCTCATGACCCTCTTTCTCCCATCATGCATTTCAACTATTTCCTGGATATGCAAAAAGATCAGCCTTTTTGCACTCACTCTTCAGTACATTTTTTTTTTAATTAGTAGACTTTAGTTTTAGAGCAGTTTTAGGCTTATAAAAAAATTAGGTGGCTCTGTCAGTTAAGTGTCCGACTTCAGCTCAGGTCATGATCTCCTGATTCATGGGTTCGAGTCCTGCTTCGGGCTCTGTGCTGACAGCTAGCTCAGAACCTCAAGTCTGCTTCAGATTCTGTGTCTCCCTCTCTCTCTGACCCTCCCCTGCTCACATTCTCTCTCTCTCTCTTTGTCTCTCTCTCTCTCTCCAAGAAAAATAAAAAATTAAAAAGGAAAAAAGAAAAGTACAGAGTTTCCATATTATTGCCCTGAACCCCCCATTCTTTATTCTTAACATCTTGCATTAATATAGTACATTTATTATAATTGATGAACCAGTATTCATACATGATTATTAGCTGAAGTACCTAGTTTATGATAGGGTTCATTCTTTGTGTTGTACATTCTATGGCATTGGATGAATGTATAAGACATATATCCACCATTACAGCATCACCTGGAGTAGTTTCACTACCCTAGGAGTCCCCCATCCTCCACATATTCATTCCTCCCTCTCTCTCGCCAAGTCCTTACAACCACTGATCTTTTTACAGTCTTTACGTTTTGTCTTTTCCAGAATGTCATATAGTTGGAATCATGCAGTATGTGGATTTTTCAGACTGACTAATTTCACTTAGCAATATGTACTGAAAGTTCCTTCATGTCTTTTCATGGCTTGGTAGTTACTACTTTCCATCCCTGAATAATATTTCATTGTCTAGATATACCATGGTTTGTTTATCCGTCTGTCCACTGAATGACGTCTTGATTGCTTGCAGGTTGTGGCAGTTATGAGTAATGTTCCTATAAACATCTATGTGTAGGTTTTGGTGTGGACATACATTTTCATATCAGTTGAATTAACACCAGGGAGCATGACTGCTGGATTATCTCATTATTTAGCTTTATAAGAAACTTCAAAATCATCTTCTAGAGTGACTGTATGATTTCACATTCTTATTAGCAATGAATGAGAATCCTTGCTGCTCCATGTCCTTTCCAGCATTTGGTGTTATCAGGGCCTGGATTTGGTCATTCTGATAAGTGTATGGTGGTATCTCACTGTTGGTTTAATTTGAGATTCTCTAATGACATATAATGTGGAGCATCTTTTCATATGCTTATTTTCTATGTGCATCTTCTGTGGTGAGGTACCTGTTTATGTTTTTGCCCATTTTTCAACAAGATTGTTAGTTTTCTTATTGTTGTGTGTTAAGAGTTCTTTGCATATTTTGGATCCTAGTTCTTTATTGGCTATGTGCTTTGCAACTACTTCCTTCTAGTCTCTGGCTTGTCATTGCTTCCTCTCAACAGTGTCTTTGCAGAGCTCACTTATAATTTTTTTTTT